AGTGGCACCATCCAGCCGGCTGCCCTGTAAGCCCCGCACGCTCTGCATGGGGGCGGGGGAGTCCGGACATTGACAAATTCCCCCCGGACGCTATTTTTAACTGAAAAAAGCCGGACATGTCCGGGGGAATCCAGACGAATGGTAACCCTAGGGATGCCGAGACGGGCCCCTCACCTCTCACCACCAGCTCCACGGAGTCGCTCCACCTGACGAACGGCTCCGACCTGCTGTGATGGGAGCAGCTATAGTTCCCGCTCTGCTCCCGGCGCACGTTGTTGATGGGAAACTCAAACTCCGACTTCTCCGTATCCACGTGTGCAACATGGCGTCCCCCTTTATTCAGCACGATCCGCACGCCCTGGCCCTGCCCCCAACACTGGATGAACACAGCTCCCCCCAGGGAGACCTCCCCGCTGGGCCTGAGGATGGGCTTGGGCAGAGTGGGCTCTGGGAGCAGAAGGAGACAAGCCGTGAGACGCAGACCCTGGGCAGGGAGGGGCCGACACAGCGACCCAGCCACCAGCCCCCACCCAGCTCAGCTCCCCATTGAGTGCTGGGGATCCAGGGGAGTGGGGAGGGGCCGGCTGAGCAGCCCCTAGGCCCCAAAAGCTCTGTGTGTCCCCGGAGATGGGGAGGATCCCCCTGGGAAAAGCCCCCTGCTCCGTAGCTTCCCCTGGAGCCAGGGATCCCCCCTCCCTCAGACTGAAATCTCCAGCGGCTGCTGCTCCCCCCAGTGACTCCATCCCCCATGGGCGGTGGGTGGACCCCCCTTTCCAGGAGGCTAGCCCTGCAACTGCCCCCCCCCCCCGCACAAGGCCCCGGTTCTAGTGGCAGGAGCCCTGAGTGCCCCTCACTACCCCCTCCCCATGCCAGAAATCCCCCACCCCTGCCGCCAAAGGACCCCCAGCACAGCCCCAGTCCCAGGTCTGCCACAGTCAGCCAACCAACCTGGGCCCCAGTCATGTGATGCCAGGCAGCCCAGCGGAGCCAGCCGGCCCAGGTGACCCCAGGCCTGTGCTAGGATAGAGCAGCCCCCAGCCCCAGGCCCCGGCCAGCCCCAGGCCCCGGCCAGCTGGCCAACCACAGCCCAGCGTCCCTCAGCAGTGGCTCCAGCCAGGGAAGGCAGAGCTTTCCCTGGCCTATTATACCTGCCACCCACGTCGTCACCACTCCCCGGCCGGGCGACCCCTCTGCTGGGCCCAGGGCTTAGGGCAGAGCCTGGCTCTGAGCGTCCAGCAGCATGGAGCCCCCCACGAGGGACCGGCTGGGTGTGGGGCTGGGAGCAGGGATACTGAGCCGGTCCCCTCACCTGCTACCACCAGCTGCATGGGGTCACTGGGCTGCGAGGAGATGAAGGGATATGATTGGTTCCGGTAGCTGCAGCTGTAGTTCCCTCCGTGCTGCCGGCCCACGGTGGGGATGCGGAACTCGGCCCCGTCCCCAGCAGGGTCCATCTGTCGCTGTGGGTTCATGTCCCCAGCCTTGTGCAGGAAGAAGGTTACATCCCGGCGCTGCCCCTGACACTGGATGGTGACGTCTGCCTCTGGGGCGGTGACCCCAGTGGGGCTCAGAGAGATGGAGGGTCTGGGTAAGCTGGGATCTGCGCACAGGAGACAGGCTGTGAGAGCCAGACCTGGTCACCCACCCAGCCCCGGCCTCCCCGGCCAGCCCCAGCCACGGGCAGATCCAGGGGCCCCCGGGCAGAGATTCACTCCCACATCCTAGAGTTCCCCTCACCCAGAATCCCGGCCCTGCAAGCTGGGCTTCCAGCCCCACAGACACCGAGCGGCAGCTCCCTAGTGCTTGGGATCTTCATATGCCCATGTGTGGCCCCTGCCTCGTTCACTGCATCCAGCCCGCCGAGCACAGAGCGACTCACGGGCTGGTCTCTGGTGCCCGGCACCGCCCAGCACCAGGCCCCGAGCCACACACAAGAAGGGAGTCAGCTTCCCATTCTACATAGCGGGAAACTGAGGCACAGACATATCCACATTCCTCAGTGAGCTCCCAGGGGAAGGGACTGTGTCTTTATCTGTGTTTATGCAGCGCCTGGCACAACAGGTCCCTGATCATGGCGGGGGCCCTACATGCACCCGCAATACAAGGGATCCAGCGCTATTGAGGCCAGCGTTTGCAGAGGTCTCCACTAACTGTGGGCATCTCGGCATGTGGGCACTCAGCCTGAGAACCCTGAAGATTGAGGCCCCCCCACAAGGAAGGACACTTTTGAAAACCGCGACGTGCTCCCATCACACAGAGTCTGTGGCTGCGCCAGGAACTGGGCCAGATCCCCTGGGTCCCAGCCTAGCGCCGTGTCCACCAAGCCACTGCTTCTCCTGCAGCCCCTGCCTCATGCAGCCTGGGCCGGGGCACTGCCTGGGGCGGGCACTGGAGAACAGAGGGGATGGGATCACGGGATTTAATAGCAATTCACGGTTCATACAAACAGGGGACAGCGGTAAAGTCGCATCAGGAGCTGCTGCTCCGCCCTGGCTGGGGAACCCCCCATTGACTCCGTCCTCACTCCCCAGCTGGGCATCCGCTCTGCGTGGTTAGGGCTCAGGGCAGAGCCTGGCTCTGAGTGTCCCATTGGCACCGAGCCCCCGGGAGGGTCTGGCTGGGGGTGGGGCTGGGAACGGGGATGCTGAGCCGGGCCCCTCACCTCCCACCATTAGCTCCATGGGGTCGCTGGGGTACGACACAGCGAATGGCTCCGATCTGCTGTGATAGGAGCAGCTGTAGCTCCCGCTGGGCAGAGCCTGGCTCTGAGCGTCCTAGCAGCATGAAGTGCCCCATGAGGGTCTGGCTGGGTGTGGGGCTGGGAGTGGGGAGTGAAGCCGGGCCCCTCACCTGCTACCACCAGCTGCACGGGGTCGCTGGGCTCTGAGGAGATGAAGGGCTCTGATTGGGGCCGGTAGCTGCAGTTGTAGTTCCCTCCCTGCTGCTGGCCCACGGTGGTGATGAGGAACTCGGCCCAGTCCCCATCAGAGGCCACGCGTCGCTGCGGGTTCTGGTCTTGAGGCTTGTGCAGGAAGAATGTCACATTCCGGCGCTGCCCCTGACACCGGATGGTGACATTTGCCCCTGGGGCAGTGACCCCAGTGGGGCTCAGAGAGATGGAGGGTCTGGGTAAGCTGGGATCTGCGCACAGGAGACAGGCTGTGAGAGCCAGACCCGGTCACCCACCCAGCCCCAGACTCCCTGGCCGGCCACCTCCCTGGGCAGATCCTGGGACCCCCAGGCAGAGATTCTCTCCCAGATCCCAGAGTTCCCCCCACCCAGAATCCCGGCCCTGCGAGCTGGGCTTCCAGTCCCACAGACATGGAGCCGCGGCTCCCTAGTTCTTGGGATCTTCATATGTCCATGTGTGGCCCCTGCCTCATTCGCTGCATCCAGCTCCCCGAGCCCCAGAGCGACTCACGGCCTGGTCTCTAGTGCCCGGCAGCACCCAGCACCACAGGGCCCAAGACACACACAAGGAGGGAGTCAGCCTCCCATTCTACATAGCAGGAAACTGAGGCACAGACATAGTCACTTTCCTCAGTGAGCTCCCAGGGGCAGGGACTGTCTCTTCACTCTGTGTTTATGCAGCGCCTGGTACAACAGGGCCCTGCTCATGGCGGGGGCCCTACATGCTCCCCCAACACAAGGGATCCAGCGCTATTGAGGCCAGCGTTTGCAGAGGTCTCCGCTAACTGTGGGCGTCTCGGTTTGTGGGCGCTCGGCCTGAGAACCCTGAAGATTGAGGCCCCCCCACAATGAAGGACACTTTTGAAAAGCGCGACGTGCTCCCACTGCACAGAGTCTGTGGCCGAGCCAGGAGCTGGGCCAGATCTCCTGGGTCCCAGCCCAGTGCCGTGTCCACCAAGCCACTGCTTCTCTTGCAGCCCCTGCCTCGTTCAGCCCGGGCCAGGGCACTGCCTGGGGCGGGCGCTGGAGAACAGAGTGGATGGGCTCACAGGATTAAATAGTGACTCACAGTTCATACAAACTGGGGACAGCGTTAAGTAGCCTCCAGGGCTGCTGCTCCCCCCTGGCTGGGGAACCCCCCAGTGACTCCGTCCCCGCTCCCCAGCCGGGCGTCCCCTCTGCGGGGTCTGGGCTCAGGGCAGAGCCTGGCTCTGAGTGTCCCACTGGCACTGAGCCCCCGTGAGGGTCTACTGGGGGTGCAGCTGGAAACGGGGACACCGAGCCGGGCCCCTCACCTCTCACCACCAGCTCCATGGGGTCGCTGGGGTACGACACTGCGAACGGCTCCGATTTGCTGTGATAGGAGCAGCTGTAGCTCCCGCCGTGCTCCCGGCTCACGTTGGTGATGGGAAACACAGCCCGAAACCCATCCGACTCCACAGGTAAGAAATGACGTCGCTCTTTATTCAGCACGATCCGCACATCCTGGCCCTGCCCCTGACACCAGACGCTCATGGATCGCCCCAGGGAGACCTCCTTGCTGGGGGGCATGGAGATGTTGGGTTTGGTGTAGTTGGGCTCTGCAGTGGGAAGCAGACAGGCCATGAGACGAAGACCCCGGGCGGGGAGGGACCGACATGACAACCCAGCTACCAGCCCGTCCCCAGCACAGCTCCCAGCTGAATGCTGGGTTTCCAGGGGAGTGGGGAGGGGCCGGGGCCGGCTCAGCAGACCCTGGGCCCTGAGCCCTCTGTGCGTTCCCCGAGATGGGGAGTATATCCCTGGGAAAGGTCCCCTGCTCCACAGCTCCCCCGGGGACAGGGATCCCCCCTCCCTTAATCTCCAGTGGCTGGTGCTTCCCCCCACGTGACTCTATCCCCCTTCGGGCGATGGGTGTATCCCCCTTTCCAGGAGGCTAGCCCTGCAACCTCACACACACACACACACACACACACACACACCCTACACAAGGCCCCGCTTCTAGTGGCAGGAGCCCTGAGAGCCCCTTGCCACCCCCTCCCCTGGCCGGAGAAACCCCAGCTGGCCAGAACCGCGAGCCAGCCCCCCATCCCCACCTCCAGAGGACCCCCAACACAGCCCCACGC